GGGAGAGAGAAAGTCTTGTTTTTTCAACAACAACAACAAACAAAAAAAACCACACACCAACCCTGAACATATCAAGCTGAACTGAGAACAAGAGTCGCTGACAATTAGTCTCCCACAGATGAATCACTCAACTCAAAACTTGTGTAATGCAGATGAATGGCTCGTCCAAGGTCCTTATATGAAAGATAAAATTTTCCCAAGTGTCAAAACTCACAGTCTTGGCGTTAGTCTCCACGTGAGAATGAAAGCGTGGTGGGCCATTCCACAGATGTAGCACAATATGGTCACTGACACTGTCTACAGGTACTTTCCAAACGGCTGTTTCTGAGTCCATTGCAAAGAATTTGTTAAAGGCAGTCCTTTGTCTGTTCATAAGTTTACCACGCACACATTGCGTGTTTCTTTTCTAACTGGAAAATCCCTGGTGGCTAAAGTCCGCACCAGCACAGAAGACCAAAGTTGGACAAGACAAAAAGTCTTTCTACTAGTTCAGCAGTTTGTCGTTTGCTTCCCGCGTCGTTGTCGGGGACGTAGTGGCCAGCTACACACACACGCACGCACTGTGTCTCTCCCACACCTCCCGCGGGGGCTGGCATAGGAACAAGCCCTTTTGCTAACTTCTTATCTCTGAGCAAATCATTTATGAGAAGAGGATTTAAGACGGGGAAAGAAGAAGATAAAGAAAAGAAAAAGAATTAACTTTGAGAAAGCATAATCTGTCACTGCACTAGACATGGCATTCACGAGAACAACTGTGGAGACACACTGGGCTGCTCGCAACGTCAGCACTTGCTAGAGAAAGGTAGAGAAGGAGGAGGACAAACCCCACGGCCAAAGACCAAACTAGCACTCTGGGGTGAACATGCTACAAACACACAACGAAATTTTAGAGTAGGAAAAACTTGGGGGAACGGCTGTTTCAGAAAAAATGACAATTTACAAGATTCCTGGTTTCCCTGCGGGCACACGACGACATACTCCGCGTCCACGGGACAGAATCCTCACCAACCACCACAACAAGGAACAACAACTCTTCCCATTCCAGCATTCCGCCAGTCTCCGGAGGTGGGAGAGCCAGCCGCTAGCTTCCTCCTAACGACGTCTGTTATCCTGAGGACAGATTAAAAAACACTCAGGAACAACCACCAGCAATTCTGCTCCAGGACAAACTTTTGCTGAACACAAAAATAAATATGACACATGTATATTACTCTGAAAAATAGGAGTGGACAAAATTTAGGAGGAAAAAAACCAACTCATTGACTACTATTTCTTTCCAAAGCTCCGCCATAAATTAAAAACTACATGACTATAAACTAAGACCAGAACTTTTAGCACCTAAAAATATTCATTTCATCAAAATATTATTTTTAGGACTCACCATTAACATTTGTTTAAATCAGAAAAATTTGTGACAATAGTTCACTCTTATTGGAATGTTTTAATTTAGACCCAAACCACGACCAAAAAAAAGCAGGTACAATAATCATAAACAGAGAAACGATTAACAGTTTGTTGACCACCCCCAATGGACACAATCTGGCCTGTTGAGATGGGCTTCTCACCCTGCCAGCCGGGGACACACACACACAGCCGGGGACACACACACACAGCCGGGACAACTACAGAGGACATTTCAAAATTAGACTGAAAACCAAGGAGGAAAATCAACACGACACGCCGATGCTTGTTTTGGCTTCCTTGTGTCGTGTCCCAGAGAAAAAGCAAACTTTCCCAGTTTTTTAGTTGTAGTAAGAGTTTTACAGCACTTGCAACGCAATAAGGTCGTATAAGTGCCGAAGAATAGATATAAGTTACAAGAGAGTATACAAAAAAGGGGGAGAGGTCAGGACGATAGATGTTTGATAAGAAAGGAGAAAAACTACACCAGAGCCAACTTTCTGCTCTGTGGCTCCCAACGTACACTTCCACACACCAGAGCCAACTTTCTGCTCTGTGGCTCCCAACGTACACTTCCACACACCAAAGCCAACTTTCTGCTCTGTGGCTCCCAACGTACACTTCCACACACCAGAGCCAACTTTCTGCTCTGTGGCTCCCAACGTACACTTCCACACCCCAGAGCCAACTTTCTGCTCTGTGGCTCCCAACGTACACTGCCACACACACCCATCAAGCATCCAACCAAAGGAGATTCATCAAAACAGAAAAAAAAAGGCTTAACAACAAAACTTGTAAATTCTAATTATTCTACGGTTTGCATTTTGCGTTTAAAAATGTCCTAAACTTCATTGTGATGATCATGATGGAAAATAAAATAAAAAACCTTTTTTTTTTCAAACTGCAAGGATCTATGGCTGCTTAAAACCGAGCCCATCTATGAGGAGAGAGTCAAGACAAGTAAGTAGGACCCATGTTTTAGTTTTTAGCTTTTGTCAAACACACAATACAGAAAACAGCAGCCCCCCCCCCCCCCAATAAAAAAAAAAAAGGCCCCCCCCCCCCCTAAAAAAAAAAACCCCCCCCCCCCCAACATCAAAGAACCCCCCCCCCCCCCCCCCCTATGGAACCCATTGTTAAGGAACAGGAACAAAGATGGATGTCTTTATGTCAATGTGTCACGATGTGGTGGAATCAGGCGCTTGTCAATTTTTGAGCATATGGGGTTATTGGTACAATCTTAAAGCCTGTTCTTTTGCCTTCCTTTTGGGGGGAAAAAATATCCATCTATGTTGAACAGAAGTCGAAATATTTGCCATTGAAAGAGGTCAGGGTGGTCTGGTTTCACAGGAAAAGGTACGCACAAAGAGAACGCTTGCTCGCGATAAAAGCGAGCGCGTTGGGACAAGCGCTCGAAATGTTGTTTAAAATTTGCTTGTTGCGCACAAGAAGTACGCTCACTTTAATCGCGCCTGAGATTTCAAGAAACGCTTGGAAAGCGTCAAGAATCATCAAAAGTTCATTCTTTCTCGCTTGCAAGCGTGTACCTGGTGCCGCCCCCCATTGTTGTCTGGTTACGACTCGGGTAGTGCGGTGTGCATTTTCTCTCAGTCTCAGTGACAATCGGACCGAAATGGATGTCAAGTCTTTTATAACAGTCACGTTTAAAATACATGCAATTTGGGACCAAAAAAAAAAGACCACGCAAACCGCAGCGTTGTGAAACGTGCTTGGAAAGATATCAGCGAAGAACTGCCAGTTGCACCAGTTCTTGGTTATCTTTGGTTCAATTTTTTGATAAGATTAATGCCTCTTCGCTCATTCTCAGGTAGGACTTAAAATGTCAAGGGCTCCTTTTCCTTTTATTCATCTCATGAACTCCCATTCTTTTGCTTTTTCCTAGGATAATTTCCTGCAAAACACTGACTAGCAACAATAGTTCGTCTTCACTCGAATCCGTCATGGCGCCAAATACCGAAGTTCTGACCTGTCGCTAGCGCGATTTGCAATCTTTCTATATGTACACCTCAACGACAAGCAAGCGCTTTCTTTACAAGCGTTCGTTTTATCGCAATCGCTTTATCCGAGCAAGCGTTCTTTTTGTGCGTACCTTAAAATTAGCAAGAAAGTGCCGCCAAAGTTTGGTAACTTCCATAGCCTATGAGCCCACGGAAACAGAAAATTTACTTTTTTTGTGCCTTTAATCAATGTTTTTCAGTAAAATCCGCACAGCAATGTATTTTTAAATGGATATAAAAGATGTTGAGCCAAAAAGAGAAAGGAAATTACGGGAAAAAATGGCCCATCAGCCAAAAAAAAAAGCCGATTTCTTTGCCTTCATAATTTTGACAAGCGCCTGATTTCACCACGATGGCTCACATATAATGTTGAACAAAAGCAAAAATGGGTATGGGAAGAGGCAGTTCGTACTGGTGACAGTGGCAGTTCGTACAGGTGACAGTGGCAGTCTGTACTGGTGACAGTGGCAGTTGGTACTGGTGACAGTCTTCGGTGACAGTCTCCTATGGGTGGCTGACAAAGCAGGTTGGACTGTACAAGTTGTTCTGTCACACCCACAAGAAATGAGGGTCCTGGGTAGTGTACTAAACTTCAACATGACCACACACAAAATTCATGATTCACTCACCCTCAACTCCAACACGATGTCACACACACAATATTCATGATTCACTCACCCGATTTCTCCCGCCGGGCCCATCTCTGTCTCTGTCCCCGCGGTCGCCTCGGTCGCCTCTGTCCCCCCGATCCCCGCGGTCACCTCCTCGGTCCCCACGATCGCCTCTGTCTCCTCCTCGGTGGTGGTCTCCACCACCAGCCCGGTGTTCCCCGCGGTGCTCCCCCCGGTCACCGCGGTGCTGGTCACGGTGGTGGTCACGTTGGTAGGGGGGCGGCTGGGCCTGCTGCTGGTCCTCCTCTTGGCGTTTCTCGTAGTGGTTGAAGTCGTCGAAGATGGAGGTCGAGTGCTTGTAGCTGTGCATGATGCGCAGCACCTGCTTGCCCTTCTCAGGGGGCACTTCCTGCGTGTCGCGCGAGTTCGTCACGGGCTTGTTCTCGTTGTTCTCCAGCCGTATGTGTCTGAGCGTTGAGTTGGGCACGTCCTTCACATAAACCCACTTGACGGTGAACTGGCCCTTCCACTTGTCCTGGGCCCACACCCCGGCACTTTTGTTGTAGTCCACTGGCGACATCATCTGAGCGATGCCACAGAAGTGTCCGCTCCCGTTGACGGAATAGATGAGGTACACGGGCCCCTTGCCCTCCCGCTCGCGGAACGCCTGGTCCAGACGTTTGTTTCCGTGGTCGGTGCTGCACCAGATGTTGTACTTGATGGAGCGGTGGATGTCGTCCTCCGAGTACGACTTGATGATGAAGAAGCGGGCAGACTTGGGGTTCAGATTGAACTCCTTGGGATTGTACAGATTGGAAGATTTCAACTGGTCCAACACGGGGTGGGAGGGAGCCGGGGGCGTGCTCGAGCTGTGACTGTCCCCGTTGGTTGCGGCGGGAGAGTTGGCCACCGGGCCAGAGCGCGGCCCCGCGGGGCCACAACTGCCGCCGGGATAGTTTGAGTAGGCCGTGGGGTGGCCACTGACACTGTTGCTGGAACTGTTGTTGTTGCTGCTGCTGTTGTTGGCGTTGACACTGCCCCCCGCCGGGCCCGCCATGGCTGGGTGGGCGGGGCCACTGGACGACGGTGGCGCCATCTGTCGGCGACTCACCACACTGGGCGCCCAGCTCTGCCGCGACACCACTGCCTGGGCCGAGGGCTGCTGGGAGGCTGTCTGTGCGCCCTTGGCCGGGTTCCCGCGCATGTCCCAGGTGCCAATGTCCATGTTGTGGCTTTTGTTGGGGTTGACCGGGGCGCGTGGTATCGTCCGTGGACGCAACTGCTGCTGGGGCCGGGCCGGCTGACTGGCGATGGCCGCCCACGATGTTTTCTTGGGCTGGCCACCCCCACTGCCACTGCCCCCACCCATCACAGAGGCGGCAGACACCGACTGGGAGGAGGAGGGAGGGGCCATCATGATGGAGGGGTCGCCACCACTAAAACCGTCACTCATCACAGGGGGGTGCGTCATGTCCATTTTCTTCCTGCCCTGAGGGTCGGCGGGCGAGGCGGAGGGCTGCAGGGTCATGCCACGAAGTCCCTGCTCCACCGTGCCGATGGGCTCCTGGGGCTCCGGGGGGGCGGGGGCTCCGTTCATCATGCCGTACGTGTCAGGGGGGATCACCTCAGGCGGGTAGTAGGCGTCCTCTGAGCTGTAGCCTCGCTGGTCTTTGCGGACGGGCTGGGAGCTGCCCCAGTAGTCGGTGGCGTACTCCCAGTTACTGAACGGGAAGCCAAAGCCGCCGTAGACGCTGCTGTAGTCGTAACCCATGCCAAACATGCCGTCGGCGCCGTTGGACCAGGGTCCCTCCGACGCCCCAAGTCCCTGGTTCATGAACGGGTACGACATGTTGGGGGTGTAATAGCTCTGGAAAAACGAGTCCGAAACCGCCGCGTTCGACATTGGAGGGGCACCGTAAGCTCCCTGAAATAATCAAAGAAATCATCAGAGACAAAGAAACTATCAAAAAAATCATCAGAGACAAAGAAACTATCAAAGAAATCATCTGAGACAAAGAAACTATTAAAGAAATCATCAGAGACAAAGAAACTATCAGCAGTGCCTCCACAAAATACCACGGACTCACAAGCTGTTCACCTGAGTCAAATCTTGACAAGCTTTACACACCTGTTCTCTCTTCCCTTTTCTTTCTTTCATATTTACCTCACATGAAGCAGTCCAATGTGTTCTTCTAAAGGCTAAGGCTATGGTGCATGATATCAACACATACGGAGGGTAAATATATGAGGCAGCGTGAGACCAGGCCCTCGTTAAAATTAGGAAATCCAAGAAATCAGCATTTTTTTACCAGTGTGTGGACATTTTTTTCAAATTTTTGTTTTTTGGCTGAATACCTTGTATGTCCATTCAAGAACTTTTATGTGTGGATTTTATGGAAAAACGTTGATTAATGGCCCAAAAAACGTAAATTTGCAGTTTCCAAGGACTCTTAAGCTAGGGAAGTCACCGAACTTTCGCGGCCATTTTCTTGCTAATTTTACTTCTGAAACCAGGTGACCGGACCTCCTTCAACCCAAAAATATCTCGACTTTTGTTTAAGAAAAATTGTTTTTTTTTCCATTGAAAGCAAGGCAAATGACAAAAATTGACGAGCGCCTGATTCCACTGCATCGTGGACACATATTTTAAAAAGATGATAAGAAATCTTTCCCAAGTTTCCGACATGGAACCTGCACTACCACTTTCAACCAAAGTCTGTGGCTGTCATTCCTTCAGTACAAAATGTGGCACACGGCACTGCCAATGAGGAAGCACAACAGCCTTCCAACAATACTGTAGGTCTTTGTGACTGTCCGAAGTTGTAGGCCTTGACTTGGGAGTGAAAGCGGACAAACTTTCAACTGGTTACTTGGTGCTCTGGTATAGTTTGCTCCTTCTTTCTATCCTACATCTATCTGGTGTGGTTTGCTCCTTCTTTCTATCCTACATCTATCGAGTGTGGTTTGCTACTTCTTTCTCACTAGTATCCTACATCTATCGTCTTTTGTACCTGTGACTCTTCTCCTGTAACTCCTCAAATCTTTAGCACCTATTATGACCTAATTGTGCTACAAGTGCTGTAAAAACTCTCACTAAAACAAAAAACAACAAACACAAAAAGTGCATATACAGTCAAACCTGTGTAAGACGGCCACCCATTGTCAAGGAGACAGGTGGCCGTCTTAGGCAGGACTGATCAAGATGAAGAAACAAATTATTCCTATCAGAGGTCCCAATCGAAAGTAGCCGCATTGTTGTTTTTGTTGTTGTTGGTGGTGGTGGTTTGTATTTTGTTTGTAATTTTTATTTTGTTGCTGATTTCGCAAAAGGGTGACAATAAAACGAAATGTATCAGACAAGGAAGACCGAGTGCCATGTTAAAACAAACACATGGGTCGCCACCACACGGAGAACGAGCGACGTTTCTGTCACAAGTTCATGTTGACGTCCTTTGTTACTTTGTTACAGACTGGGTAAACAGTGACCACTCATCTCGCTTACAATTTGTGTTTAAGTTCTGGGCGGGGCTTATGGGTTATGAGGGATCACACGCTTACCTCACCAGCAGTTGAAAATTGGTAGCTATTGGTCAACAGTGGGAGGGGCCTACGCAACATGGTCGGTTGGAGGGACTAGCCTACCTACAACAGCGACAGGGGATTGAATTATGACGGCTTGCCCACAACGCCAGGGGCCAAAGCACAATTTATGACTGAACGAAATGGAGTCACTAAGGTGGTCGTCTTAGACGGGTGTTATTGCTTAGTGTGATAGGGGTTGTGTGTTGAAATAAGTTGGCCGCGGCCACGTTGGACAGGTGCCCGTTTTACACAGTTAAATTATATAGAAAAAACGCAAGGGGGGGAATGGAAAGTGGCCGTTTGTACAGGTGGCCATCTTATAGAGGTGGCCGTCAGGGCAGGTTCGACTGTATTTCTTTTCTATTCATCATTATCCAAATGAAATTGTCCATTGAGGCCCAAGGTTGCTGAGAGCTAAATGCTATATCTGAGCCATCACGTCATTTACCTTGAGGTGGGAACATCTACAGCGAGACTGGACCCTAACACAAAATCAGGTTTCTTAGGTCTGAAGCCTAACTAGTTTTAAAAAATTACAGCACCTGTGGTTCATCCTCAGCAAAGTATTAAACAACACTTTTCTGGCTAAAAAAAAACTACTTACACATCTACATTTCCGCATCCACAAACAAATCATAGAAATCATACCACAAAACAAAAACCATTCATCAAATCCCCCGAGTCTGAATGAAGCCCCGACTTCTGACTGTACAGACGAGCAACGTCCCAATGCATGCCTGCCCCCCCACCCCCCACCCACCCCGACTTCTGACTGTACAGACGAGCAACGTCCCAATGCCTCCCCCCCATCCCCCGGGTGCATCAGCCACGGGTGGTTCCCCGCCCAACGCCTTCATGTCAGGGTCACTGGGGTCAGCTCCCTGTCGCTGCTGCTCTGGTTGTGGTGCGTCCTTCAACTTAAGGTAATTATCGTTTACTACACAAAAACCACGCATTTCTGCTCTTGAGACTAAAAAAAAGTATGTAACTTATAACTTGTCTGGTTATTTCGTTAGACACGGCGAACTCAGCAATACTAAATTTTTAAAGTACAAAAATTGTCAAAATTTTAGAACACGAACGACATAAACACAGATGGAGGTACTCACAAAAGGGCGTATCTGCGCAGAGGATAGCACACGATTTGGTGAGATCTGTTTTGAGACCTTGTTGCACATGTAATCCCTTCATATACAACTTTGTGTCTATACAATCATGAGTATCCACATATATTTTCACAAAAAGTTTGTACAAATTTAGACTATGGTCTCTCTACCCAGAAGTATAAATTGATTTAGCACCAGAACATATCTAAAACATCATAAAATTAAATGAACAGTTCGGTATCAGTAGAAATTCCTAATTTTCGTTCAAACTTTCAGTCTAGGTTTTATAAGTTGACTGAAGAACAGGAGTAGCTTGCGGTAACTGGGTTCTCAAAAATTTAAAGTTCCCAATGATAGTGAATCAGCACTACACTTTGATAGTGAATCAGCACTACACTTTGATAGTGAATCTGATCAGCACTACACTTTACCCAGATTTTCTTTCCCTTGAATAAGTTCTGATGTCTTCACATTCATGTGGTAAGTGCCCGCACAAAAAGGAAGAATGAATAGATATTATGAGCTGTCTGAAATTATTCCAAGCAAAAAGTTTATCTCTACCCATGTATGTCACACAGTGCTGTATGTTTAAAAAAGTCGCACATTTTTCTTAGATGTACACAGGCCCCCTCAGACTGGACAGAACTCATGACCACGGTCAACATGCCTTTCCCTTGTGGAGCAAATGGCAAAGCAAGAGTCAGCACTGAGCGTGTATTTTGTCCAAAAAATGCAGATAAAAGCATCTTTCTTCACTTATAACTCCACCTTATTCACTTTCGTCTGACGTTTTAAAAATTCTATCATCTTTATTAATTTACCTACAACCTACGAAACTTTCGTGGCATTTCTGCGAGCCAGAGACCAAACAAAAATATTTTTTCAAAAACCCTCTATCCAGAATATATAAGTTTTTTCCTCTTTGGGCCCTCTATTTAAAACCACTCTTTGGATGCATACACAGGATCACTAAAATAAATAAATCAGTTACAGTAACCTTGCCTTCAAATTGCTCATTTTGAGACAGCGACACCACCTTGCCCCCACATTTCAGTGTAAGCTTGTAGATTGCATCCCTCAGTTGTCTAGACGTCTCCACCCACGTGAGTCTAAAAATTACTCACGTCGTCTCTTGAATAGTGCTTCCTTTCTTAAAAGCGAATGTTAAACTGTGGTAAGGAAAATATGTCAACTGTTAAATGTTATAGGTGTGAGCTGTAAAACCCTACTTTTTAACCCGCTTTAGGCTTACAATACAGAAACCGTGTCGGAACTTTAGTTTACAGTGACCTTTATGAATGGGCTTTTAGATTCTGTTGGTCATGCCTCTTTTCGACCTGTATGCAAAAGATCTGAGAAGATGAAACAGAACTATTTCATTGTTTTAACCGTGATCAGACGAAACTGAACTAGCTATTATGCTGCTATACCTGCGCAGATTTCAGATTTCTCATGGTAAAGGACATAATATTTGTACATAGTTTAACAGATTTTGCAGAGATCTGTCAGCCGTTTTTGAATAAACAATCATTTATGATTTATTCATGTATGTTTGTATCTAAAAATAGGACAAACTGGATAATCTATGAGCACTGCCTAGAACAAAAACTAAGGCAGAATATAACCAATCTAACAAAGTATAAATCTCGAAACATTCAGCTTTTAGTACATCCGTGTAATGGTTTGCTGTATGGGACAGGGAAGAAGTTCAATCATTTCAAACGTAGACAAAAATGTTAAATTCTCCGGCAAAGTCACTTCATAGACTATCATAGCTAACGAACCCCTGACCCCTAGCTGGGAAGCTCTGGTGGGATGCTGAGTCACGTTAACTAAAAGTCACAGAATCTGGCAAAAGTGACACCGCGCCCTGCAAAGCCATGAAAGACGTTCTGTACAAGAGTAATTCCCGACGTATCACGTAAAGCTAACCACCACTTAACAGACCCAAGCATCAGCCAGTTTCCATAAAACATGGATGTTCTCATGTTACTTGTACTTTCCGTTTCATCTTTCTCTCTACGCCCAGCCCCCTTGTTCAACCTGGAGGAGAAATAAAAAAGAGGCAACATTTCTGATCATTTCAACATAATCTGTTTACTAAGAGAAAAACAAAAGACCTACATCCGATGCCTGATCACTCCAAGACCGCACTGCATGCTGGGGAGGTTGCTGGAGATACGGTTCCTCGACTTTCATAACATCTTTGCCACCATTGGACACTGAAAAGTGGAGGGAGAAAAAAACAAAAAACAACATTGACGTCAATTGCAAACTTTCCATACTTATTAAAGAGAGAGAACAGAAGACATCCGGATTTCAAAATGTACCCCGACAATCACACGAGTGCATTAAAATAAATGTCGGCATCAATTCTGATGAAAACCTGTTTCTTCTCACAAATAAGAATATCTTTTGGAACAATATTCCTATGCCTCTATTTCAGCTACTCCAGAAAAAGGAATATTATGGCCATGAACGATCATTTCCCAATGGCATGTTCCCATTGGCTGGTAACTTATAGCTCCATTACCTGAGAGACACGCAGAGTACAATCTCTCATTGTACGGAACAGAGTACAACTTCTCATTGTATGGAACAGAGTAGAGCCTTCTACCAAAATGATCTTGATAATTTATCAAAGCATCCAATTATATATACAAATGCCAAAACAAACCTTTGCTGCAGTACAATGCTTTCCTTTTATACTATTGTAACTATTGTCACTTTGCACCTGATTCCTCCGATCATAACTTTCTACCTCTCATCTCAAAAGCCAGAAAGATGGCATGTGAAAAAAGTGAAATTTACCAACAATACTAAAAACGCAAAATGTGGAGAACAACATTTCCAAAGAAACTTCATACTATGCTGGGCACCTTTCCAGTTTGGAACATTAGATGGAATCAAGACTAGGTGGACCAGGATATTCATGTCATGTAACAAAGAGACTCCACTCTCAGACTTTCCACATCATTGGACTGATAAATGTTCTCCTGTGGCAGAGCAGTTGTCAGTGAAACCAGGCTCCCCAGTCAATCATTACTCAATGTCAAGCCCACGCGCGGGTCACAGAGGTCAGGTGGGTGGTCACTGGGCGGTGTCATTGAGCAAGATCATAACCCTAGCTCATAAACAGGGAGTTGCACAGTGAGTGGTGGTCGACAATGGCTTGTTGAGAAACCAGTCAGCAGTGGTGTGTACGTAGCGTAACTTTGGTAAAATATTCTTTGCATTACATTTGATCATTTGTGTGTTAAGTATGTATCAGGCTGTTTATAATTAGATTACGATACATTGAGATGCTTGATCGTCAATGTGAGTTTACATGTCGCTCATCTGATCAGTTTCAGAACTGTGAACATTGCTGATCAATCCGATAAACTCTATATAAGCAAATACCTCAACGTTATTTAATTATTACCTACCAAGCATGTGTCTTTTGTTGTATGCCATAATTACTATGTATGTATGTATGTATGTGTATTGTATGCCATCATTACTCTGTATGTGTATTGTATGCCATCATTACTATATATACGTGTATTGTATGCCATAATTACTATGTATGTGTATTGTATGCCATAATTACTACTGTAACCTTCATTCCCCCAGAGGATCAATTCAGTGCGATTTATTGGGGATTTTTTCCATAGTAATCCTGGCCTCTCACTGTCATTTCCTTCTAAAAAGAATTCCCAGAAATGCTATATAAAAAAAAATGTAAGCACAGTTGAACTACTATACTGCGTATGACTTACACGTTTGTACTAAGCAATAGCTACACTTCTGAAAGCAGCGCTGTCGAGCAAAACAAACATGGCCCTCCCTATGACAGCTGCAGTCACGTGGTAGAAAATTAGAGCCCAAAAATAAGCTAGGATGTGGGGTGAATTTTTTCTTAGAAAGTAATTGTAAGAGAATAAAATTCAAGAAAATAATAATTATCAGGAAACTATGATGGTCAAATCTAATTTTACAAGCTATATTACCCAAACTGGTAAATTTTGACAATCAATACAGCTCAGCTCCCAAATGCAGAGATGCAAAACTTTTTTAGGGCCAAAACTACATATTTTAGGCTGAATACATGGCCTCTAACCGCTAAACTATCGCAAATCAATGGTAATTCAAGCATTCTCTATACATTATTAACAAAATTGCAAAAACCCTACAACTTTTTTTGGAGGCTAAACCACCCTGTTCTTGGGTGTACAACACACAGATGAATTCAAGAAAAAATCGAACATTAAATTAACAAAAAGTACTTTGCTATACTCAAGGCCTACAATTCCTACATGATGCATGAGGTGCAAGTCAGAGTCAGTGCAATAGGAATAGAAAAAAGGCCTTTAAGTCAGTACAATAGGAATAGACGACAAAAGGTCTATCAGAGTCAGTACAATAGGAATAGACAAAAGGCCTATAGATCAGAGTCAGTACAATAGGAATAGACAAAAGGCCTTCTATCAGAGTCAATACAATAGGAATAGACAAAAGGCCTATCAGAGTCAGTACACTAGGAATAGACAAAATACAAAAGGCCGATCCACCAAGTCTGAACAAAACGTTCCAAACTGAAAAATCGTCTTCTGCCCTCTAGACTATCTAGGTCTAGGGTGTAAGGTCTAGGCTACACTTTTCTGTTCATAATTCATAATAATTCTTGGAACATTTTTACTTTCACTCCCACACAAATGCACTGCTTTTAGGGGCCAAAATGAAAATTTTTGCTGCAGATCACACATAAAGCCACCAAAACTGTTGCAGATCAATTTATAGTCAAGAAAATTTCAAATCTAACTGAAAAATATCAAACTATGGGTTAAAACAGGAGTGTATCGCAAGTTTAGTTCCGCCGGCTCTAAACTTAACACCATGGCCATGCCGCTGGGCGAGGAAGGGGAGTAGGGGAGCAATTTGGGGGTAGGGTAGATGCTACCCCATCATGTGAGCCATGAGCGATGCAGACGGTCAGGGCAGTGTGGATGTGAAATCTCACGACTGCCCGTGAGAGTGCTCGAGTAGCGAGCCACTACGGAAACTTTCCTGGTTAGCCAAAAGCCAGAGGTGTGAAATTAGATTGACCAATGCCTGCCATCTTGATCGTACGGCCAGCTGAGAAAAGAGTTTCTCGAATCGTTGTTACATGTTGGCAGTGAGGGGTGGCACTGGTTGACTGTGCTTGTTACACCGATGGGTGGGGCTAAGGGTGGAACCAAAGGCCGGTTTCAAAGGGGATGTTCAAACGTTTCTGTTTTTAATAGGTCAAACAGTTATCATATGAAAGGCAAGCACTGGTGGTAATTGGAAAAGTAAGACATGTTTATCAGACAGGATAGCAATTGAGAGGTGTGAAAGTTTCACCCCTGCTTGCCGATCAGACCAGCGACCCTTGATCCCACAGGCTGAGCCTTTGAATCCCCCCCCCCCCCAATCTGCCCCTAAATTCCCCTGTCTAAGACATAATTTTTTTCTGGCTCCCTGGCAATTTTGTCTTACACAGGTTCGACTGTAGCTCGATTAAAAAGCATCAAATTTTTTTTTAACTATCAATTTGCGATGGAAATGAAGTTGATAAACGTGTTCAGCGTCCCAATATAGTAGAAAATGTACAGCTGATAGCCAAGTGTGAGACATAAGGGGAAGTAAAAGAATACCGAATTTTAAATAATTCATTATCATATGGGGGTCTGTGTAATCTTTAGTCTTAATGAAAGTTAATGTGTCCTAGGTTAAATCCAAGGGATAACACGGTTTTGACCCCAACAACTATGGAATGTGGGTTTTGCATAGCTGCCACTCAGAAATTTATAAAAAGGAGGAAATTCACGCGACGGCGTACGCACGCTCTCCGAAACCAGTGAGATCCACCAGAGGCAATATATACTGGAAAATCTAGCCTACGGTTTTGGAAGGGAAAACTGTCATATTGTTAACCATAGGCAACTGAATTAAAATGTATTTGACAAAAAAAACCCATAAAGGCAGTAAGTTGACT